GGGGGTTGGAGGCTGGGGGCACATTAGAAACATCCCTTCTGTGATAAGATGCAGCTGGTTACCATAGCAACGCCTATTACAGTACCTGCAGCCCGAGAGCAGGTCAAGAGATAGTGTCCTGATTGTGTGAATGTTTGGATGTGCAAGAGTGCATGTGGCATGTGTGTGCGTGTGTGTGTGTGTGTGTGTGTGTGTGTGTGTGTGTGTGTGTGTGTGTGTCTGTGTGTGTGTGTGTGTCTGTGTGTCTGTGGTCTTACAACATAAAGGCTTTAGTTCATTGGCTCTTCATTAGATGCTCTACATCTGGCTGTGCTGGGAGCACTGCTTCAGGATAGTGAGGAGACACACACACACACACACACACACACACACACACACACACACACACACACACACACACAATTGCCATCCACCTGCCCCCATACCAGCACTCACTCACAACCCCAACCCCCCACGAATGCCCACCCCCTTACTCTCACACACACACACCTGTCACCCTGGTCCCCCTCACACAGCCAGGTAGACAAGCGTGCTGTCGGCTGGATATTTAACACAGTTCACACACACATAACAGGTTGTGTCATGTGACTGTGGAAATGAAATATTCTTTCAGGCAGCCATGGACTTCCAGGCTCCCTGTGTCTCCACACACTGCTTATATTGCTATTGAAGTCGCTTTCTAGCATCTAGCATCTAGCTGTGAGTCTCCACATCCGATTTCTGTTTATTCACTTGTATGAGAACATGTGTAGAGAATACAGCTCCACTAATCCATATTTTTACATTAACAGACTGTGGTTCTACAGAGCTTTCTAGCCTTTTTTAGTTCTTTGTTTTAGTTTTTCAGCCTTATTTCCAGAAAAAAAAAGCAATTTTAAACCTACTGCAGTGACTAGCTTTTGAATGAACGTGGCGGAGCTCAGGAGTGTGTGGAGACCAATCAAGAGCTTAAAGGAGAGTTTGTGTGATGAACTTACTTCATTAGCTGGACACAAACATGAATTTAAAGGTCCAGTGTGTAACATTTAGGAGGATCTATAGGCAGAAATGTTGTATTTTCGTTACCTTAGAATGAGCTGTTTTTATCTACAGAGGGGCGGGTCCTCTCAATCCAAGCACTTGCAAGAGATCCTTTTGTTTTGTCTTTATTTTCATGCACACAGAATATTAGAAACTTCAGTCCAACAACAACAACAACCTCCAAAATGACCATATAGTCAAATCAACAACTTAACACGCTTTGTACTAGCGTTATACTGATACCATGATCAACCGGGGGTATGATAACATTTGCTTAACTAAAGTATTGAATTCTACACTATTACTGGTATTAAAAAATATAGGACATAATATTTAGTGAGGTTATGATAAAGCCAAAAAGAAACCCTTCTGTTTCCATTCCCTTAAGTAACCGTGATATTTTCTGAGATGGGTATTGTACCATGAAAATCTCACACTGTTGCAATACTACTTCGCTTGTAGGTTCTTGTAGTCCGTCTGCAAGAAAACTGGATGCCATGAAAATGATGTTTTCAAGCAGAGAAACCAGAGTGGCTCATTGTACACGATTGCTTTCATGCCTCATAACTGCTGCACTGCTAACTCTTTTTCTTGTGAGTGTCCATGACCTCTGGTCTGTGTGTGTGTGTGTGTGTGTGTGTGTGTGTGTGTGTGTGTGTGTGTGTGTGTGTGTGGGTGTGGTGTGTGGGGGGTGGGTTGGTGTGTGTGTTTTTTGTGTTTTGTGTGTGTGTGTGTGTGTGTGTGTGTGTGGGGGTAGGGGGTTTAGCACTTCCTCCAAGACTCGCACTCTGTTCACTAGTGACACAATTATGGCTAGAAACCCTCTTCTACACACACACACACACACACACACACACACACACACACACACACACACACACACACACACACAACCTGTTGCAGAAAATAGGCTGTCTACACACACACCTACACACACACACACACACACACACACACACACACACACACACACACACACACACACCTAGAAGCATACAAAGGCACACACTCACCTGCCAGGTCAGCTCTCATTGGTTACCATGGTAGTGCTACTAGTTTGCAGCTGGGGAGGAGAGCTGTGTGTGTGTGTGTGTGTGTGTGTGTGTGTGTGACACTCCACCTGTCGTCATCCACTGACACATATTGAGTTCTCCAAGCAGGTAGCAAAGCCCTCCTCCCCCATTCCCCCTCCACCCATCCCTCTGTTGGTCTTCCTCTCTCTCCTCTTTCTCTTTTATTTCTCATTCACTCTCACCTCGCTCTCTCTCTCTCTCTCTCTCTCTCTCTCTCTCTCTCTCTCTCTCTCACACACACTTTTCTCTGTCTGTGTCTCTCTATTCCTTTTTCTCTCTGTTTCTTTGTCTAAAAAAACCCCCAGACATTTAGACTCACTATTCCCAGTCTCTTTCCAGAGGCACACCTTACACCCCCAGAGCCTTGTGGGAAAAAGGGTGGTTCCCAAGACTTTCTTGTATTCCCAGAGCTGTGTGGTGTGTGTGTGTGTGTGTGTGTGTGTGTGACAGAGGGAGAGAGAGAGAGAGAGAGAGAGAGAGACAGACACAGAGAGAGTGCTCTGTCCTCTGGGAGGTTTGGTTAACATACAGTAGGTGTAGAAGTCTTTGTCTAATTCAGGGCTGTCATTTAAGTATAATTCGGCATCATTAATTTATTTTACACCATTAAACATCAGAGGAAATTGACAGGTTGGTGACACTGAAACATTTCATTGCGCTTTAAATATCTGTAGAGGCTGAAGGCAGGCATGATGTCAATCAATTTAACTCTGTTAATGTTCTGAATTTGCATGTTGCATCATGTTTGACAACAGTTACAAGTAAATAATCTGTGAAAGTGTGATTGGAATTCAGTTGCATTGATGTGTCTGTGGAGGCTTCAGGGTGCTTACACAGCCTCTAGAAGGGTTTCTGAATGTGGACGAGCCCCCTCCCCCCCCAGTGTGTGTGCTGAGCAGTAATGAAGTCTTAATCTATATAAACACAACGCTGCATATCATTTGAAGAATCTGTAGGCATGGGACAAGATTTTTCAGTTTTGTAGTCCGAGTAGTGTTGACCAATCATGTTTGAGCGGGCTTTGGTTCGCAGTCCGTGTGGAGAGCGTGATGGCAAGAAAGCATTGGCTGAAAGGCAGTTTTGGAACCCAACGGCAATCATATGATTTTGCATTCGTGTGCAGATATCCCTTATGTTCTATCTGCTAATTGGGCCCTAAACAATGACCGCATGGAGGAGGAAGTCTTTGCTCGGGTATTCGTTATCCGGATATCTGCTGGCTACACCGGAAGCCCGTAAACATTGGCTATTGCCCCTTGAGGCTAAACTGTGATCAGACAATAGTCCATGTGTTCAGAGATTGATCTTGTGATAAAAAGTCATAGGTCAACTCAAAATAACTTTCAAAATCTAACATCAATGCAGCCTGGGAGACCCCTTGTCTTCCTATGCGTCGTTATTTATCAACCTGATAAAGTTTTTATCAATAGGAGGTTAAGAGTTAATGTTCAGATTCCCACTGAAGCCAGAAATATTCCATCCTCAACATGTGAGAAAGGCTTAAGATGCTATAAGTGCAGCATACTAATTTTATTCCTGTAATGATGACTAATGATCACTGTATGTGATGCAACAGAATAAACTTGAATAGATTTGTATCTGTAATCACACAGCTTTAGTCAGTTCTCTGATCTCAAATACTGAAGACACCAAAGTTTATATTTTATGTTTTTTCATGTTACTCAAAGACACTTAACATAAGATAAAATGATGATAGATTAAATGTATTTTGCATTTTATTCCACTCTAAAAATCCTGTTTATTTACATCTAAGGAGATTTTCTGTTACATGAAATTCCAGCGACCATTTTAAAACTCATCATAAACAGAGTTACTGTAAATTACTGTACTGTAAAGTCGACTGATGACTGATAGACAGAAGCCTGTGAATGTGCCAGTGAGAGTAAAGACAGGAATCAATAACGGAGCTCTGATTTGAAAAGAAAGCCTTGTTTTCATTTTCTACTTGTGGTGGTGAGAAAGCCGTCCTGCCGTGCCGGCCTGCAGTTCTCACTTCACTCATTGTGGTGTGACGAGAGTCTACAGACCACGAGGCACTGGGAAGAGATTACATTTGAGTACTGATCAGGATGTGAGAGGACGCTGCAGTTGTTTGTTCATTTGACACTTTTAATTAATGGTTTTTCGTAGCTTTTAATTGAGTTTGTTGTTTTTTAGCTTAAATCTAGTCTAACACTCATCTTTAACCAAGCTTTTTTATTAATTATTTACATGTTTTATGTATGTAAAGAACCCTTTGGTAACAAGAGAGAGAATTTGTTATTGTTATGATTAGACACTAGCTTGAGACAGACATCTTTACAAATAGAACAATGGATGATTGACAGTTTTCCCCTTCCTACTGTACATCTGATTAGACAGATACTGGGTTGTAACTAACAAGTTAACTATCGATTCATTTGTTGATTGTGTTTTCAATAATCCAATTAATCTTTTAGTTTGTAAAAAATGTGAAAAATGCCCCATAAAAGGTTCTCAGAACAGTCCAAACCCCAAAGATATTCAACTTATTATGATCTAAAACAGAGATCCTCCTAGTTGAAAAACAGAAACCATGAAATATTTACAAATGTTCCTTTAATACTAGACAGAATCACCACTCCAAAATAATAACTTTTCTGTTAATACATGTTTAAACTAGACACTAAAATCAGTTCCTGAATAAGGTTTTGGGTAGGGCTGCACAATATGGTGGAAACATCATATTGTGATTATGCAATATGATTTATGATTAGTGTGGGAGTCCCTGGTTTGACTCCGGTTGGGAATCTCTGTTGCTTGTCACTCCTTTCAGTCCTGACTATGAACTTGTGAATGATCATCATATCATCAGAGATCATCATAATAAAGTTAGTAAGTCTAAGTTTGTCCCCTCTCTGTTTCCAGTGTGTGGACAGTGTATCAGGGGCCGACTCGTCCCTGAAGCGCGTGGCGGTGGTGGAGGATTTCTTTGACATCATCTATGCCATGCACGTGGAGATCAGCACCGACCCCGGCAAAGCCCCGAAACACGCCGGCCAGAAGAAGACCTACAAAGCTGTAAGAATGGCGTTACGTTACCATTTATACTGCGTGTTTCTGTGTGGGACATTTTCTCCTTTTTGTTTACAATAAATAAATATCTATGTCTTTCTTTTTGTCGTCTTTATTCTTTCTCACTTGTTCAACTTTTTTCTTTTTTTTCCCTCTCTTCAGTTTTCACAACCCTCTGTTTGTCGTTGCCCATGCGTCTCTTCACTCTCACACCACCCTCCAACCCCACACAGTGTATTCTCTCTTTCATAACTTGTGTCATCTGTTGCTTAACACTCTCTGCCCTCTCCCTTTCTCTCGCTTTGTCTCTCTTCCTCTTCTTTTGGTCTTCATTCCTCTTTTACTGTCCCTGGCAAGAAAAAAAGTGCCTTTGCCTTCTAACAGCCTCCGCCACGCTGGTTGAGTTTCAGTTTCAGATCAGATCACTCTTTCTGAAACTGGCAGACACATCCAGTTTATTTCTACCTGCTGGTTGACAACTACTTTTACTCTGTGTGTGTTTTGATCATATTTTAAGAACAGATGTCCAGATTCTCTGATTTCAGCTTATCAAATGTGAATATTTTCCGGTTTCTTTAGTCCTCTGTGACAGTAAACTGAATATATTTCAGGTTGACATTTGAGGACACCACCATGGGCTTTAGGAAACAGTGATCAACTATTTTCTGACCATATTCTGACGATTTATGGACCAAACAACTAATCGACGAATCGAGAAAGTGATGAACAGATTTTCAACAATGTAAATAATCATAAGTTGCAGCCCTGAACTGAATATCGGTTTTGGACTAAAACAAGTAATTTGATGAGCTCACTTTTGGCTTTAGGAAAATGTGATGAGCATTTTTCTCTATTTTCTGATGGAACAGTTAATTAGTTAGTTGAGAAAATTATTTGCATGTGTAATTGATAGGGAAAAAAATGTTAGCCACTGCCCTACTTAAAAAATTTTAAAAAAAGTTTCCAAATACAGTATATAGGTCACAGAATGTATGCATTTGTCAGAGTGAAACTAGGCTAGCTTCATTATCAGCATCACTGAATTCAACCTTTTTTTTCCCTTTTGTTTCATCTCAGAGTCCCTGATGGGACTACATGAATTCCCCAGCCCCGAATGCTGATCTTATCCTAAACAGAATCCTAACCTCAAACCTAAATCCCAGTTTCAAATAATCAGACCTGATGGTGGAAGCAGATGTAGATTTGTTTTTGTTCAGCTTGTGAGTTTTGGAGTTTAGAGAAAAGTGAAAGTAAATGCACCTCTGCTGTCTCAGCTGCTGACACTGCCCTCTTTTGGTAAAATAGAGGAAGTGCAGCTTCCACAGATTTGTGTCTTGGCACAAGGACGAAACTGTGACAACTCTGTCAACCAGCGTCTTCTTATCTTTAACTTTCCTTCCATATCATCTCTGTCTTCTTCATCTTCTTTAGTGATCTGTATTTTTTTCTATTTGGATTATTTTTTAAATATTGAAAAAATTAATTATTTTGCACAGATAAGGTTTGATCTGTCAGACTGTCCTCTGTGTCCTACAGTTATAAGTATATATGTGTGTGTGTGTGTGTGTGTGTGTGTGTGTGTGTGTGTGTATATATATATATATATATATATATAGCTTACCATGCCACATAGCTGCAGGTCTGAGTGCCACCAAAGGCTGTGAGTGACATTTGCCTTTGCTTTACCCCCTCCTTCCTACACATGCACACTCTGTTTCTGTCAGTCACTCTCACACACACACACACACACACACACACACACACACACACACAACACACACACACACACACACACACACACACAGAGCAACCCCCATCCATCCACATTGGCTATTTTCCACCCTTCCTCCCTTTCTTTTGTGTGTTTGTGCCTCTCTTCCAGAATAAATGTTAGATTTTTGCATACACACATTCAAACACACCCACGATTAGACTCATATCCTCGGCGTCACTGAGTGCAGTGATTCTTAAAAAAAAAAAAAAATCCCTCTTAAAAGCTTTGAGACAATTTGACACTGGTAACGAGGGCCTATCTCGCCATTCTGGGCCATTTTGTATATTTAATGAAACGTAGACAGCCTGACGTGAATGATAAATTGTTGTTTAACAGAAAACGTTTCAGTGGTTCAATAATCAACTTTAAACAATACATTTAGACTGAAGTTGTTTTTGTTTGTATTACTCAAGATTAAATTACAATGCGCCTTTCTCGCTCTCACTTAATACGATGCTCGTGTGATGTGTGTGTGTTTGTCATGTCCATTGTCTGTAGAATTTGAATTAATTTGGCCCTTTATTAACCAGCTGTTTAATAATGGATATGCACTTTCATCACTTTATCGCTACATACTCTAAATCAAATGAAATATTTCAATATTGTATGAAGATTTAATAGTGAAAGTGAAATATGTGAAGTGTGTAGCTCTGTCTGCACTGTGTCTCTGTCCAGGTACCACCATTATACAACCCAGAGGCTCTTTCTTTTTTTCTTCAGTGCTTTCAGAAACTAGAAAAACAGTTTAAACACCTCCCTCCCTCCCTTTCTCTCTCTCTCCCTCTTTCTGTCGGTGTCTCTCTCTCTCTCAGATAGCGGAGACGTACGCCTTCCTGCCCAGAGAGGCGGTGACTCGTTTCCTGATGAGCTGTGGAGAGTGTCAGAAGAGGATGCACATCAGCACCACAGGACAGGACTGCAAAGGTACAAACACAACACTGCTGCAAATGTCTGAGTCCCCCAGTTTGAGCCTGAGGAAATTTTTTTATGCAGCACAAATGGAAAACATCTTACTGTCAGTGGGATCACTGAAGTAATGATCTTAACGTTTTATTTTTCTGGCACAAACCGGCGACAATGACTGTGTGCGAAATAACTTAATCACTTAAATGACTACTTAAGTGCCCTGGAATTACCCTTCGTCATTTCATTCGATTGTGACATTTATTCACCATGTAGTGTAGTCTAAATTCCAACAATTGAACAAAAAGTACATCTTGCAAATAATCCCACAATGTAATTCATCAGGTTTTATAGATGCAGCTGCACAAAACTGTTCCAATCAGTGACACACAATGACGCTCGTTTGTAGGTGTCTGAACTCTCCGTTAACTTACCATCGAGTGAACTTGTAAGTGAGTGAATGAGGGAGTTATTTAAATGGGCGCCCACACAGAGCCGGGTTCTGCCTCTTAAAATGATGTTTTTCCTTGCCACTGCCACCAAGTGCTTGCTCGTGGTGGGAACTGTTCAGTCTCTGTAAATAAGGAAAAGACCTTTACTATATGAAAAGTGTCCTGAGATAACTTTTGTTAGGATTTATACAACTAAAATCGTATTAAATTGACGTTAAAGTGCAACTCCACTGATTTTAAAGACAACGTTTTTTGCTCCTAACTTAACACACCAGAATCTCTGACATAACGGTCGGTGGTTGAGTTGCACTGTGGGTAATGCAGGCACCAGGTTTTGACAAGGAAGAAGAATGTGTGGAATAAAAAAGATGATCCCTCTTCTGCATCGATTTTCTTCTTTTTTATAACGATAAGACTCATGAGGGAGTACAATGGTAAATTAGTGGAGTATGTTGCACTCTCCATCAGAGGCGAGGATAGAGGAGAGTTCTTTAAGAGCAGATAAAATCATTTCATCAGTCCTTTTTTAAAAAAATGTATGCTGTAAATAAGTACTGTTTTTCATCCATCACCTCAGACCTTGTCTATAAAAATAAAGCAGACACTGTGTTGTTGGTTTATGTATCTTAGCTCACTGTAAACTCTATCAGAAAGAATGAAAAGGTGTTAATTGTGATTTTTCTCATCAGTACCTCAGAATGTGTCACCTGCTTTACAGTGCTCTTTCAATTCAGCCTTTAATTTCATTAATGAGGAAAATTAAGCTCCATCATTGTAAGATCACATTATCAAAGTAGACAGGAGCAGATGAAAGACGATTAGCTAAATTTAGTCAGTATCTTCACTGCTTATTCTCTCTTCTTCTCTATTCATTTCACTTCAGTTTAATTAAATTCAACACTCTATTGACATGAAATTTAAGTCCGACACTGGCAATGAAAGATATAAAACCCCCTCTTGCTCCGTTGTTTTTCTGTCTCTGCCTCTCGATTAAAACATGAAGGTTCAAAGGAATCCTCCCTGTCCCTCACTCTTCCTCTGCCTTCTGCTCCTTCTCTTTGTCATCACTCTCTCTTATTCGGTGTCTTCTTCCACAGTGTCTTTCAATTAGAGTCCCGCTCGCTTTTCTTTTTTCATCCTTCCCTTTGCGTTTCTCCCTCCGCTCTTGTCAAAAATGAAATCTGGCAGATGAAAATCCAATCAGAGGAAGGTTTTCCCCCAGTTGCTCTTAATGATGGAAGGTTTTGAAGGAATTATTATTGATATTAATTTGGATTGGTGCCGTAATCTTTCTTTAAACAAACGGTCAATTTCAATTGTTACAGTTTTACACTTTAAATATTGATTGTTTTGACCAGATTTGTATTCCTGTGAAGGTGTACTTTTAAATGAGAAATGCAGAAAGATGTATAAATGTAGAATAAACATATTCTGTGTCTGTATCTAAAGCAGAAATATGCGGTTCCTCCTTGAGATAAAAGGCGTTTTGTTCGCCCCGCCTTCCTCGTGTTCATTTGGTCAAGTCGCTGCCAGCGCGGCTGTCACTCATCTTGATGAGCAGCCTGTGGACGAGCTAACCAAACATCTGTGAAGCCTCCGCAGGATCTGAAGAAGCAGACAATTAAAAATAAAGTTAATGGTCGCAATGGTTTTAGATGTTTAGCTTCCCTGTGTTTGCGTCTTTCCTCCATTTCACAGGAAATGGCACAACATCACTCAGAAGCCAATTAAATGTAAACAGGGAAATGTAAAGGAGGGAGTGTGGATGTGTAAATAGTGGCAGAGCTGCTTCAGAGCTGTAGCTTAAAAATATTACATTTATGATCCCAAAACCTAAAGAAGCCAAACAATACTTATAATGGTACTGCACTTATTTAGCATTACACTCCTGTAACATTGTTAAATATTAACTTTGTTAAGATTTAAAACAGTTGTTGTTTGCTGCAGTTTTTCCTGTCCATCCGGCCTTTGGAGTGATCCCGTCCGAACGGGACGCCAACTGAAGAGATTGGTGACCAAATCTACAGTCCTCATTCTGGGCACAATTAAAACGGCCACTATCTTCTAGTGATCTGATCCCTGAGCATCTTCATACAAAAGTCCCTTTTTGTTTCTGTCTGCTGCAGCTCAGCTCAGCAACACTGAGAAACACAAAGAGACACCGCTGAAGCCGTACATTATATTAGCTGAACTTTTACAATGTATTTTTGGACAGAGCGATGGTGACAAACATGTTAGGAACGGATATCTTCAAAGCCAGTTTGGAGAGGAGGAATGACAGCTGCTCCAATGTACAAATGGCCTCTGAGTATTGTTTTAAGACAGACCTTGAGAGCTCTCTCTAAGTGACAGTCGCTCTGCTTCTCTCTTTTCCCTCTTTATAATTATTTTTCTTAAGAATAGGCTATGAAATGTGCAGCGGTGTGACGTGATGATGCCATGAGACAGAACATATGAGTGTCGCAGTTTGGACGTTTTTTTACCCTCTTTTTTGATTAGCTTGCAGCCAAAAGACGACACCCATTTTACATTCTCCCCCATCATCTCCTCTGCCAACCCTGCCACCCCCATTATATATATGTTCTGCAACTACTGGCACCCTGAAGGCCCCCCTCCCCATCTTTCTCCCTCGTCCACACTCCCATCCCTCTCTCATCCCTCCCCCCATTCCTCCCACTGATGCCCATCCTTCCATCCCCCCTCCAGCTTGTCCATCTCCTTTTCCTCCTTTATCCTCCCCTCTGAGCGTCCCACCCACCATCCTCGCATCCCGCTTCCAGCTCTTCCTCTATTTCTCTCTCCCATTACCCCCCCCCACCAACACTGCTCCAAGCATCCTGTCCCATCCCTGTATCCCTCCCCTCCTCCATCCTCCCTTTGTCGCCTCCTCTACCCATCCCTATACCCTCCGTCCATCCCTCCCTCCCCCCCTCGCACCCCCCCCCCCCGGGTCTTCTCCTCGTCCCTCATTAAACAGAGGAGTCATTGGAGTGTCCTGTCTCTCTCCTCAATTAGCCTAATTAATGGCTTTTAACAAAGAAAATGGCCCAGGAAACGAGCTCATTTTCCACATAGTCGAGGGGGAGAGAGGGAGAGAGGGAGGAATAAGCAGTACTGTTGGGGAGGGCAGGGGGGAGAAATCTGATATATAGGGTAAAGAGAGAGAAAGTAAAATAAAGAAAAAGACATTTGAGTTTACACAGAGGAAGACAAAAGGAGATGGAGAAGACGAGGTCTCCTTACGTCACTTTGCCTTTTCGATCTCGTAGAAAAATCTGGGTTGTTTTAAACTTTTGGAGAAATTTAAATATTTTCCTGTTTTTCATTTACTCGCGACCCAATCCAGACAAAAGCTGTTGATGTCATGGATTTTCTGACTTATAATACAACAAAAACAAAACATACAGAGACCCTGACAGGGCAGGAACCCCCCCCCCATACACACAAAGACATAAAACAAATAGCCAATGGGCTTGTTCTGTGAGGCCGGCACTAAGCAGCCGATTGGTTACACAGCAGCAGGCCAGGTGCCCAGCTGGCCCCCCATCGGGACCAGGCTCGGGGCAGAGAGTGCAGGATACCTCTCTCATTTGAAAGCATGTTTACAATGAAAAACACAAGAACTTAACAAACAAAAAACAAAAAAAATCCTGTCTCTCAGAGTAGGGATATCAAAAAAAGAGAGAGAGAGAAAAGCTTCGTTTTCTGTTTTTCTGTTTTTAATGTGAATTAAAATAAACCATTAGTCTGCCTGAACCAGCTGGATAGTGTCACTGATTAAAAAAAAAAACAACAAGGGAAAATTACAAAATTGAAAATGTAGAAATAGTTGAAAATATATTTCATTAGAAAATGAAATAAGCTGAGCAAACACACACACACAGACACATGTGCGCACACACCTTAAGGACAACAGCCGTGATACTTCAGCTCAGTGTGTGTTTTGTGGATGCCACTCAGAGTGCGAGCAACTAATTGCCTTCCTACCCTGTGGGGGTTCGGCCTCTCCCCGACACACACACATGAACACACACACATGACCTCAGCCCCCTTTATCGCTATGCTGAAGTGACTCCCACTAAAGTTCAGCTGTGAATTATTAAATGCAATTAATCAGCGTGGACTGAGGCCATGTTTAATTGACACAGGCGGCAGGCTCACAGTGTGTGTGTGAGTGGGTGTGTGTGTGTGTGTGTGTGTGTGTGTGTGTGTGTGTGTGTGTGGGCATATGTGGGTGTAGGTTTTTTTATGTAGAAAAGTTAATGATCCTCCTTTTTGTAACAAAATTGAAACTAATGCAGAGTGGATCTCCGTTTACTGCAGTATCACACAGAATCTACTGCATGTCTGTCCGTCCTGGAAGAGTCACTCTTCTGTTTGGAGAGTTTGTCTTTGTCCTAATCAATAGTCTAAGGACAGAGTAGGTCTTAGGCTGTAAAACCTTGTGTGATGCAGAAGAAAGCTTTCTCTCGCTGTCAGTGCCAATAGTCAATTTTTCTACAACTTCATTTTCATGTCACGATCTTCGTCGGTTAAGCCCATAAACATGACATTAACAAGTGAATATCAGGTTTATGTTCACAATAAAGAGGGGCCAAAGAACCAGACGCTGTAACGATGACTCTCATTCATTAACTTGTTACGGAAAAAACATCATTTACTGTGTAAATTATTTATGTGTTGACACTAACAAGCAGTGCAGATACATTTATTTTGACTCTGTGTATGACGGCTCTTTATTTTAATCTGCTCTACTTTTCAGTGATGAGAACGGTTACCCATAAACACCTGTGGTTTGTGGTAATTTCTAATTCGTCAATTCAGGTCAAACTAGTCGAGCCAAATTTTACTCAAATAACCCAAAATCACAAATCACAATTTTATATGAATAAATCAAACTTGATGTGAACACTCTGTGTTCTTTTAAACATGACACCATTTCTATTAGATTATTAGATTATTAATAGACACCTTTAATTAAAGTAAGCATATTTAAAACTGGGTTTCCTGCTCACCCAACACTAATGACACTAGTGACTACATGGCTGACTAGCTCACTTAATAGGGTGCTTGTGTTTGTTATGACAGACATAAATATTAGACACATTCATTTCTTGCTTTATGCTTTTTAAGACAACATCTAGCGTACAAGATCATCACTGTCCTGACTGGGCAGGGGTCGGGGGCCTCATGTTGAGAACCACGTGGCAGCTTTGTGTCACATTATCGGTCAGTTATCACAGTCTGTCCCTCTCTGGAGAATACGCACACTCTCTCTTTCGCCCATCCCCGTACAAGACTATCAATCACCAATCAATGATGACGGTCCTGTCTATTCTGCTAAGCCGTATTGATCTTGTGCCCCATATTCATGTCCATTCTGTAGACGCTCCAGACGTTCTCGTCCTTTAAGAGGTCAGGAGATAAATGGCTGTGAGGAGAGGCAGAGGAGAGAAATATGGGTGGAGATGGAGAGATAATGTTGTTTGTAATGTGCTTTTATTTCCTGTTTTTTTTTCTTTCTTCCTTTTTATAAAAGAGCCTTGAAAAGCAATAAAAAAGCTTTTTAGTGAGCGTATCTGAACAGAAAAAGAGACTTACCCTTTAGTTTATTTTATAACTCAACTGCTGAATAAGTACCCCATCTCCTCACACTGTTAGGTCAAGTCAACTTTATTTATATAACTCACACACTTACCTAAAGGGGTTTTAAACGTCCACTGTGTAACATGTGGTCTATAATCACCTGAAAATAAGAATCATTGTGTTTCTCTTACCTTAGAATGAACTTTTATCTACACACGGGAGGCAAAGCTAAAGTTCACCATTCACACAGAGAGCAGAAAAAAAAGAAAAGAAAGAGAGAGATTGGAGGAAATCCCAGGATGGTTGATGGTCCTGCACAGAGAAAACAACAAGGATGAGAAACTAGGGAGAGAGAAAGAGATGGATTCATTCAGAAGGAAGGATAGTGGTAACAGATGCAAATCTGAAGAAATCAAAGAACAAGCAACTAACTGAAAGATGAGTTTTAGGTTTGGATTTAAAGCCCCCTCAGGCCTCTCTGTGACTGCCTCTCTTTGTCCGTGTGGCTCTCCCTCCAGCTCTAGAGGGTCCTCTAGTGTTGGCTTTCTGACAAGGCATAATAACAGACGGCATTAACAGGTTTGAGAGAAGACCAGCCTGCTGTCAGTTAAAGGGAGTGATAAAATTATACAAACAAAGTCCAAAGTGGAATTTTGAAAAAAATGTTAAAGATGTTTTACATCTTTACCATCTTACAGCACAGCAGCACTGCAGTAAATAACAGCGGCTCTAACTGTTTGCTGTCACAGCTTTTGATTTAGCTGGATGGTCATTAGGAAGGTGGTGGTTTGTGGTGCTGTTAAGCACATTTATTCTTATATTTAAGTTTCTTTCAATCAGTGTTGGTGATTACTGTTTTAATCAACCTCATATAAAACAGTGGAATACCAAGTCGAAGCTTGTATCACTGCTAATACATATTGATTTTAAGTGATTAAAATAGTATTCCTATGAGTACTAGTAGTCATATTATTGCAGAAAAACAGGTTGAGAACGTTCAGTTTATTAGCTTAAAGTAATGCAGTGCTGCAGTAAATCCTTCACAAAGGTTATAGAGTTCAGTCTTTGTTCCTTCACCTTCAGCTACTAGGTTTGTTAGATCCTGTTTGAGCCTTAGTACTGCTCTTCACATTGTAGGTTGCAGGTCAAGTTATTTCCCCTGGTAATAGAAATACACAGAACAGCAAATAGTAGACTGTCTTTCTCCTACTCTCCTCCACTCATAAAATCAGTTTTTCTTCTTGTTGGTTGTTTGATCTTCACTGAGCAGAATGATGTCTGTGCAGAGTTTGACACCAGAACGATGTTTTCACATTCACTGAAAGTGGAAAGTTTCTCTGTGCTCATTGAAAATCAAATTTTCTACGAACGTGATTTGTGACAGTCCTCGTACAACAAGATTGTGTTGTAGTTATCTTCTCACAGCGGGAGGGAAGGAACCGATGGCAATACAATATCACAATGAAACAGTGATGTCTTAATGATACAAAGGTAGTTCATAAGTGAATGAAAGACCTTCAAAGTAAGTAATTACAATAATAGTAGTTTATAGATGCACAAATACAGCCATCTTTCAGTGTCCTCCAGCAAGCTAGGGAGGCATAGTCTGCTGACCCATATCAGTCCTGCTCCAGTCCCCAAGTCCTTCAGTCCTTAGTGGCATCAACCAAAAGACTTCACCGGTTTATAATGTTTAAAAAATGCTCAGTGTGCTGTGGTAGTAGCCCTGTTTTTCTACTGCAATGTGAATACGGCATCACAGGAACAAAGAGGACAGCTTCAAGACATCACAGATCTCTGTAGGAGAAGAAAGCTCACAGTAATGGAATTAAAATGTGGTTTGATACTTCCACCCTAAAAATCTCTCCTCTCCTCTCCTCTCCTCTCCTCTCTCCTGTCTCCTCTCTCGTACTCTCCAGAGAACGACAGGCCGAGCTCTCTGGTGTTGGAGGTGATAGACTACAACATGCCTCTCACCACCACCTACATGAAACAGATGAAGCTGCAGTGTATGAGCAACAACAAGGTACGTGAGGTCACTGTTACAGAGCTGCATGTTAAACACTCTTTCTGACTCTGGGCTCCCGTGTAAGGCTGCAGTGCCGCATCCTCTGTTTTTGTCCGGGCCATCAGACAGAATATACGTGCTGTGTGTGTGTGTGTGTGTTTTTATGCACCCTGAGAGCACAAGTATTCCCTTGAGACTGGATCATGGAGTAAATCTTGACACTGGCAACAGCTCTAAACCAGCAGGTTCTTTTGTACACTCGATTGTTTATGACAGGCGTGTAGGAGGAAACCAGGAGGCCCACTAATGCCTTGGTTGGAAGAAAAACTCCCACACACCGTCTTGCAATTAAAACACTATAATGAGAAGAAATATGAGTATTTCAGTCTGACGCTGGTGGAGGTTAGTGGACCAAAACCATTTCTTCTTATTAAGTATGAGACATTGCTGTTTTTTATACAGAATTTACATATAACAGAAAACTCATTTATGCTTCCAAAGATGCAAACAAATGTCCAAGAAAATCGTTAAACAAGTAAACATTTTTTATTTATCTGGATCAAAAAGGTTTCTCATGTATACAGAATTAGAGGAACTGGTTTTGCAGTCAGTAACTTGGCAAACAGATAAAATCTTCTAAGTGTATGTAATTAGTTTACCATTTTCATTAATTAAACATAGAGTCCATACCATGCTGGAAAATGCCCAAGTTCATGCCTTCAAATATATTCTCTATATGAATATTCTGTATTTCTGTTTACAATTACGTACTTGTTGATTAATCTTCTGTTTATCGACTTGTTCATTAACTAACAGTAATATGTTATGTCACAGTAGTGACCACAGTAAGTGTTAGTAAGTGAAGACAATATCAAATCAAGGTACATCAACATATCAAGTCCTCCAAATTAAACAAAACAACATACATTGTTCGTCTGTGCCCTCTATCAGCAGGACCACATATTGTGTCTGTGGCTTCCAGACTTGTTAGAAACCACTGTTGAAAATAAAATAAATGTTGTTTTATGGTTAAGGTTTGGTTGGGATTAGAAACAAAAATGACTTGGTCAGAAAGTTTGGGCAAATTGGGTAAAAAAACAACAACTTCCAAACCAAGTTTTTTTTTTATATTATTATTTTTTAGCACTCATTAACAATGACAGGGGAACCAAATCTAATAAAAATGATCCAAGATGAACTTTATTCAAATAAAGTACAGCACAATATCACCAGCAAACCCTCACTTGTTTATTTTCTCTAAATAAATCAACTTTGTTCTACTCCATATTTTCCCCATGTCATCTATGCCCCACCTGCAGTGGCTCTATGCTCCACCAGTGGGACCCGCACCACAGTGTGAGAACCTCTGGGTTAGGGGACGTTGTCATGATGACGTTAAGTGCCTAATAAGTTAAGGAATGATTGTGGTCATAGATAAGAGATAATGAAGTAGAACCAGAATGGAAAAACCAGAATTGATATTTGATCTGTTCTGTTATCGCTCAAGCCCAACCTGGTACGGGCCTCAAGTTCTGAGTGTCGCATCTGGAGGAATATTGTGTGTTAGAACAGCTGTAGGAGTCCTGAGGTGGTGAGGAACATCAGCTTCTTCTTCTCTTGTGGCCAGTGCTGTGCCGGCTCAGCTGTGTGTGTGTGTGTGTGTGTGTGTGTGTGTGTGTGTGTGTGTGTGTGTGTGTGTGTGTGTGTGTGTGTGTGTGTGTGTGTGTGTGTGTGTGTGTGTGTGTGTGTGCGTGCGTGGGTGGGTTGGGGGTAGTGATTGGTATATTCCATATTGTTCCCACAACACAACCACCACTCCACCCCATTCCACTGTGACTATCAGTACCACACACTCGCTGTCAGTCATATTCCCTGTAAATGTGTGTGTGTGTGTGTGTGTGTGTGAGTGTCTAGATAACGGGTGGGGGAACAGAGGGTTGAGCTCGTTCCAATTAAGCCAGGCCCCTGAGCGTCAAGTTAATTAGCTGAGGAGAGAGAGAGAAAGAGACACTGAAGTGCCAATTTACACTGGAATGCCAATATATCTTCCTGTCTGTCTGCATGTCTGTCTTTCTGTCCAAGACACACACACACACACACACACACACACACACACACACACATACACACACACACACACACACACAGCCTCTTAAAAACACACATGCAGTTCAATACTTTCACCTCTCTCCACACTTGTTTTCACTCAACCACACACACACACACACACACTCACACCTACACTCAAACACACACACACACACACACACACACACACACACACACACACACACACAAAACAACCTCTGTGGCTCCTGTTATTCTCTAACAGTTGTACCTGTCTATTTGGGGACACCATGTCAAAGCCATTCTAATTAGTTCACACTGACATATTGACACGATTCTCATTATCACCTTTGTGGTAGAATCCAAAGTACAAAATGACATATTGTTTTTCTTGTTGTTCATGTTATTGTTTATTTTCAAAAGCAATTACAATTTTTTTCAACCTCCCCCCCTTTTCTTTTTTTAGTTCTCCGCCGTACTTCTCTCGACCTCTTGCTAATCGTTGTTTGCAGTTTAATGATAAAGGAACTGTGCTCTGAAAGTCACTTGAGGATCAGAGTGTGTCAAAGTGTCTAAGATGTAAAGAAAAAGAAAAAGTTGCAACACAAACAGAAGAGCTCTACATCTGTCAGTGTTACTGTATTGATCTGCATCAGAAACAGCCTTTGAATGATAAATAAAATATGCCTGTGCTGTTTGCAGCCTACAGCGGTTAAGGGTCAGCTGAGGATCTTGATCAATACGCTTTGATTCGCCGATGCCGTGTGCCAGTCTTTCACTGAGGGTCAAATTATGAGGTTGTTATTATGCCAGAGAGGATTCATGTCAGTCATGGTTAAACTCCTAAACAGCATTAGAGCTTTAAGACAAGTGAATAAAAATGTGCAAAGAAGTTTTAATTTTTTTTATTTTTCAGCCTATCCCCGACCTATCGTGGCACGATGGACCAGGCATCTCCTTTAAAATCGCTTTGAGTAGAACTGCAAAATAAATACATAGACATGGACTTGGAAAGACAAAAATAAAGCAAACATGAAATAAAAACGGTACTATAGTTAACGCTATAGAAACTATAACTTTAAAAAGCTTTAAATGTCCTAGTATCAACAGTAAACAGCATGACTGGTATTGAATTTTTATTATACTTCATTCTCTGTGTCTGTGCGTAGTTTGTAGGAACTAATGTAGAAACTAATTTAAAGTTGTAAATAGTTTAAATATTTTATATTTATAATCAAACCAATACAACTACTGTAACTGCTGTTAATGTAAAACTGACTTTGTTGAAGATTAAAAGGTCTGTGCATGAATATCATGGCTGTCAATCAGAATAAAGTGCCACGCTAACTGAGCAGAGATTCACTGCAATTAAAATTGATTTTCTGCCCAATTTCACATCTTGACCTGACAAAATATAAAATTCTGACTCTAATATCTTAAGTATATTTATTTAAGAGCGTTTTAGTTGCATAACAAAACCTATTTTAGCATTACGTGGTGTTTAAACACGTAATAAATGCTGTTTAACACACTATAATACAGTTGTAAGGAGATATAAATGTTTATTAATGTACTTGTCAACAGCTAACTCCTCAAGTGGGCACCCATAGGTTGAGGCTGGTGTACACACACAAAATCTGTTACAATATAATAAAATACAGTTTTACATTTTCAGTATGTTTTTTTGGGGGGAAATACATAATTGGATAATTGTTGTGTACTGTACATTAATAAACACTTAAAAATGTCCTTACATCTGGGTTCATTATACTTTGTTATATTCCATTTATCAGGTTAGTGGTTTTCAAACTTGGGTCTGGGGACCAACGGTGCTCCTTGAGTGAGTTATAGGGGGTCCCAAGCTAAAGGAGGAATATTATATTTGAAATTTAATCACATTTTTTGGAAGTTGGAAGTGATTAATTGTAATTTATAGTGATCCTAGTTTGATCAGTTATTGTCTGAAGACTTTGTTGTCTTCAAACCTAAAAATAAAAACAAATACTGAGAAAAATACTGACAAATTAGGGGCCGTTGGTCTAATGTGAATCTATTGTGGGCGTCCTTCGCATTAAAATTTGGGGACCCCTGTATTAGATGTTTATATACTAATTATAAATGATAAATAGGATGAGTTAAAGTAAAGAGTCACCAGAATTGAAAGAAAATGGCCAATAAATGTCATCCAATAGTCATTTTTAACTTTTCTTTAAAGAATTGTGAACAATATATTTGCTAATCAGTTAAAGGATGAACTTGCTCTCTGTTGGACAAATAGTGTGTTTCTAAATGACCTCAAACATAAACATAACATTTCTGTGCTGTGTGAGACATTAGTCTAGCTCTACTGAAAAGCTCTCTAAAGAGAATTCTGTCGCTGCTGATTTCTTTTGGAAGTCAACTTTTGATTTGTTCTGTTTGTTCACCTTCCCACCTCATCCACCTTCACCAAAACACTCTTATACACATTTGTCAGACCAGACTCTTTTCAATCATGTGGCTGGAAGAGTTGAGGGTAAAGTTTTAGCAGACAGCTTAGATTGTGTGTGTGTGTGTGTGTGTGTGTGTGTGTGTGTGTGTGTGTGTGTGTGTGTGTGTGTGTGTGTGTGTGTGTGTGTGTGTGTGTGTGTGTGTGTGTGTGTGTGTGTGTGTGTGTGTGTCAGGATGAGACTGTGCTGCAGAAAGATTATAGTGTTCGGCCCAGAGGAGCAAAAGTACAGACAGGAATAGAGGAGCAATGACTCACTCACCTATAGAAATAACATAGGACATGAGGGAGCATTAGGTTCAGTCTGTGTGTGTGTGTGTGTGTGTGTGTGTGTGTGTTAGGGGAAGCAGACTGAGTGCAGGATAGGTGAATAGCATTGCATTCCTTGAAAAAAAGGTTGCTGTCTTTTGTCTGGGTTGTTTTTATGAGGAAGAGAATGACAGAGGATGAGGGGAAAATGGGA